TTGTTAGACGGATATCTCGCCTTCGCCATAGGTGACGCAAGTTGGCAAAAGCCAAACGAGCTTTTTGAATCCGTGCAGTGATTTAGTCCGGCACCAATCCATTAGGGCTGATCAGACTTCTAAGATGTGGTTGTAAATCTTCGTTAACTGAGGTGTTTGGGATGCACGTTACATTTGGTTAATCTCTATTTATCTCGATGGGTGGTGTTTACTGGCGCAGTAGTAAGTTGTAAGAAAGCTTGCGGAAGCCGAACCAAGACACAGGACCAGTCCATGATTTCCGGCCCTCGGTCTGATACATGCTGGTTGTTTTTGACGATCTTATTGTGATCTGCATGATAACCCCCGACCGTTGTTGCTACCTTGACTTGGTGGTCCGGCTTACCTATCGTGATGAAGCAACCGAGCTATACTGGCTGGAACAACCGTTCCTCAAGGTCCTACCATGTCAGACAGGTCGGTTGAAGAGCGGTAAGACTAAAAGCAACAAACCCAAGGTCCGAAGGCGAAGTCGTACTGCTGACTGTACAGAGTTGTGACAGCAGTAAGGTGTTTCCTTCAGATAACCAGCATGACAGCGATGCTGCCTTCCCACAAGGAGGGGTGGGGTTAGAAAAGGTCGACCCTAAAAATGCACACCTCACCTTACCTCACGGATTTCCGTCTCCGGCGGTAAGGCCCTTTGAAGAACGGAGCTAACACGTCAAAAACCTCCCACGAAAAGGCCGTGCGCGACCGGCCTCAAGCAGTTGTCCCTTGGGCACTGCGGTCACGCTCTCAGGTCACTGAGACCACCTCTAATCCAATTTCCTTTTCAGGTACCTCCAGAAGAACCCTTCCTCGGTGTGAGCAACCGGGAAGTGATAACCGCCCTCATCCCTCTAACAACACTCGATACCACTGTATTCATAATAAACTTTCCTCTTCAATTCCTATTATTTCTCCTACATCGACTTTCCACTCTAGACTTCCTCTTTCGGCTTCCTCCTCAAGTGTCACCATAGCCAACGATTCTAGTGCTCAAAACCCTGTCCCAGGTCTACTGAAACCTCGCTCCAAACTACACATTGGAGCCTTCAACGTACGCACCCTATGTCAAATCGGTCAGCAGGCTTCCTTGGCTAAAACCCTAGAGTCTCTTTCCATTGATGTATGCTGTGTCTCCGAAACACGCATACAGGACTCCAGTGTGCTCATTCACTTGACCTCACCTTGGCAAAACGGAGAGCCAACGAGATACACCCTCCCTGTATCTGGTGACCCGATGGCCAGTTCTCGTGGACTGGCAGGTGTAGGCATAGCACTAAGCATGAGGGTGGAACAAGCACTACTAGAGTGGATCTCCATCAACAGTCGTCTATGTGCTGTTCGGTTAAACGGCTCTGTAAAAACTCGGAAGGATAGGGATACACGTCGTTGCCTTTTCGTCGTTTCTGCCTGCGCTCCCACTGACTGCAGCTCAGATGATGTGAAAGATGAATTTTACAGAAAGCTTTCTGAACTTCAGAGAGCTAAACGCTCAGACATAGTACTTATAGGGGGTGACTTTGATGCTCAGATAGGTAGCTTAAACCAAACAGAAAGGCATTTAGGTGGATATGTTAGCATTCCGGCACAGCGAACAGATAATGGTGACCGTCTGCTGCAACTGTGCTCAGACAATCGCTTATTTTTAGCAAACACAAATTTTAAGCATAAAGAGAGACATCGTCTAACATGGCGACCCCCTACACCAAACCAACGATGGACTCAAATAGACCATATTGCCATCAGTCATCGTTGGAGAGGGTCGGTAAAAGATTGTCGCTCATTCTGGAGTACCTGCTTGGACTCTGACCACGCCCTAATACGGGCACGCATCTGCTTGCGCCTCACTGGACGCAAAAAAGCCACAGTAAAAAGACCCATTAGAACCGAACTGGGTAGCGAGGAAACCAAAAGTAGGTTCCAGGAACAACTGAGGTCACGGTTAGGTAGTTCTGAAAACCAGGTTGACCCAGTTGTTGCTTGGAAAGCCATACAAACAGCTGTGGAAACAGCAGTGACATCTATCAGTGATTTAAACCACAGGGTTACAAAGAACCAATGGATTTCTTCAAAGTCTATCACACTGATGGATTCTCGCAAACTCGTCCCATCAGGTTCCGAATATGATGAAGAGCGACAACAAATCAGATCTAGGTTAAGAAAAAGTCTAAGAAACGACCGTGAGCAGTGGTGGGCAATGAAAGCAAAAGAGATGGAAAAGGCGGCGACTATAGGGAACACAAGACAGCTTTACAGGCTAATAAAAGGAACGAATTAACTCCGCCTGGAGTCCCTCCGGGGGCTACTGCCGGTCCCAAGCCCGGATAAAGGAGGAGGGTTGGGCATGGGGTTAGCGTCCCCATCCCGTAGAAAACTAACTCGCTAAAAAAACGCTAACCAGAAAAAAAGGAACGAATTAATAAGTCAAGTGTAAGTGAGATTATATCGGAAAAAGACGATACTCTCATCTGCTCCCAGTCCAGACGTTTAGAACGATGGGCGGAACATTTTAAAGAACAGTTCAACTGGCTTTCAGCTACTCTACAATTACCCTCCATTCCCAGACAGTGTAAATGGAACATTGAAGTAGGTTCCCCAACTCGAGCAGAAGTTCAAAAGGCTATAGTTAACCTGAAGCGAGGAAGGGCAGCTGGTCCAGATGGACTGGCTCCAGAGGTCTTTAAGGATGGTGGTCCAATTTTAGCGATTAGGTTGACTAATATTTTAGCTAAGATCTGGGAGTTAGACGTTATCCCATCTAACTGGTCACAATCACTTATCGTCCCAATACATAAGAAAGGGTTAAAATCATCCTGTGACAACCACAGGGGGATTAGTTTAACTAATATAATATCTAAAATACTAGCTTCGATAATTATCAGACGCCTAACTAAGACTCGTGAACTGCAAACACGAGAGACTCAAGCTGGCTTCAGACCTGGTCGTGGCTGCATCGACCACATATTCACCGTTCGTCATATCTTAGAACACATGCATACTTATCGGCGTCCGACAATGGTGGTCTTTCTCGACTTAAAAGCAGCATTTGACTCGATAGACCGCGAGATTATGTGGCAGTGTCTGTCATTGAAAGGCGTACCACAGAAGTACATAAACCTTGTGAAGGCTCTTTACTCGAACACTACTAGTCGGGTCAGAGCTTATGGCGAACTGTCATCTACTTCTGCAACCTCAAGTGGTGTCCGTCAAGGCTGTCCACTTTCCCCATTTTTGTTTAACTTCATCATAGATCTACTGATGGAAATAACTTTCTCGTCGATTGAATTCTCGGGTATTGATCTACCAGGAGGTCCACTTATCGACTTAGAATACGCAGATGACATAGTCCTGTTTGGTGAAGACGCTGACAAAATGCAGAGTCTTTTGGTAGCACTAAGCAACAATGCCAGAATGTTTGGAATGCGCTTCTCTCCCTCTAAATGCAAGTTGTTGCTTCAGGACTGGTCTGCGTCAACACCTGAACTAAGGATAGGGAGTGAAGTAGTCGAACGCGTTGGCAACTTCACTTATCTTGGAAGTCTGATCAGCCCTAATGGGTTGGTATCTGACGAAATCTCGGCACGGATTCGAAAAGCTCGCTTGGCTTTTGCCAACTTGCGTCACCTATGGCGAAGGCGAGATATCCGTCTATCAATAAAAGGACGGGTATACTGCGCGGCAGTCCGTTCTGTTTTACTTTACGGCAGCGAAACATGGCCATTAAGAGTAGAAGACACTCGTAAGCTATTAGTATTTGACCACAGATGCCTTAGAAATATTGCTGGGATCACCGGGTAAGTAATAGTGAGGTTAGACGCAGGGTATTAGGGAATGATGGTAAATCAGTTGATGAGGTTATGAATCTTCATCGACTGAGATGGTTGGGCCACGTGTTACGTATGCCTGAACACCGACTACCACGACGTGCAATGCTATCCGGTATTGGAGATAGTTGGAAGAAAGTTAGGGGCGGCCAAACCAAAACGTGGCATCAGTGCTTGAAGACACTAACTTCTAGTCTGAGCCATGTTGGTAGATGCAGAACACTTGGTTGGGGTTCGCGTGACTATCGTAACTAATGGTTGTGGACTCTTGGTGACATGGCTCAGAATCGATCACAATGGCGTCGGTGTATACACTCCCTGTCTTCCCTTAAACTAAGAGATTAAAATCGGTTCACATCTTTCTTTCTACGAACCAATTTTTTTCTTCTTGTACTATATCTCTATATGCAACCTTTCTCTTATATATTACCACCTTTGACCTCACCACTGCTATGAATCCGGTGTTCATCTTGTTGTGCTGATGCGGTATGGCAACCTGGACCGATGCACATATGTTCCTGGTCCTACGTTGTAGCTGACTGACTGCATGATAACTGAGATTACTGATTGGAGACGATAAGTGATATGACTCATCGTTCACAATGGAGAGCATCCATTCACCCTGTCTTCCTCTTGATCTTGAATTGGAGTACCCCTTCGTCCATATCTTACCAATCTGTCTTTTTAAACCATATTCTCAATTTTAAGTCCAAATTATATCGATTCCTCTTGATATTTGTCTTTTTATTTATATTTCGGCGTGGCAGGTTGGCCTAACACTGAAACATACGTAAACGGAAGGCTGTTCATGTAATAAAATATCACCCAAAGTTTGTTTCAATCCTATGAAAGTACTAGACTATAACTGTTTACAAAGAAGGAAATAAATAAAATGTTTATTTATTGTGTCGAATCAACTTCTAAATAGTCCCAGAGGTGACTGTCTGAGACAATGTAAGTATATACCTCAGAAAAGACATATAAAAAGCTGTAGGATTGTATCACTCAGTTTTATAGTCATTTGATATTTTGAGATTCTGTGTACTGATCTTTTTTGTTTTATCAACTAACCCATTGTAACTGACACTATCTTCTTAACCTAATATCCATCCCAAATGCTGCGTACCGCAAATCTAATGTGTTTTCCAGTTCTGATCGTGGAGGTTTGATTACATATCATGGCCCAGGACAACTCGTAGCCTATCCGATAATTAATCTTCGGTGTAAATCTTTACAAGGTCGTGGTTTAAGGTGGTACGTTGGGGCTTTAGAAGAAGCCGGAATCAAACTGTGTTCACAATTTGGTGTGACTACATTTGCTGGTAAGGATTCGGAGACTGGTGTTTGGTCTGATTCTAGGCACAAAGTTATGGCTATTGGTAAGCTTTTTTTCTTATCATGCAATCACATTATAGTTTTGGTAATTAATCATAGAAGGCTTCGTACTTTCAGTATTTAATTATTTGATTGCTTTGGGTTGCACGTTTCCTTATATGTGTATATGCAGATTACACTAAGAAGTAGACGAAGATTATTGTAATTATGTGATATATTAACGTACTATGGTAGAAAATTAATGATACCTGTCTATTCTTTGGTGCCATTAGTGTTTTGAAGCTGCATATGTAATACCTGTTCAGATTAAAGCTGTAACCTACTTGTATGTGCCCAAGTCCATGTACTCTTATGTTTTGACTCCGACGATATTCGATGCGCAATGTAATCTAGATGTAAGCATGCAGAATAATCCTCTAACTCTCTGCCTCTCAAACATAGAAAACAAGGAAATACATTTTTGAAATATAGCGTTTATCGTCAAAAATTGTAGTACAGGTACCCAACAATTAAGTGATTGACATTGTTTATTAAATATTTAAGGCTTAGTGGACCAACCAAAGTGTTTTCCGAACACTTTTAGTGCTATTGCATTTCCTGATATGTATGGTTGATTCCTGACCTTTAATTGTCATTCTGCACAACAACTTTATCGTTTATTTCGAGTAAGAGTTAGATTTTTCAGTATTATTTTACATTTACCAAGCTGATTGATTCTGTTCAACCTGTTTGAGGTTGTTTGTATGAATAAGTTTCATTGTCTTTGTTTATCTTTACATATCTTTTGAGTGTCTTTTTCGGTTGTCAACCGATCATGTAATTGGTTTTGTTCGTACAGTATGATAAATTAGATCTGTCAGTATATTTCGTGTTTGCATATCGACATAAACATAGTGCTTCCTAGAAATTCTCTGGCTGTTTCATCGATCCAGTATTTCTAAAATTTACCTGTTACATCTGTAAACAGATTTGACTATCCGCTTTTACAGCATTCCACAGCATAGATTTTAATCCCAGACGTTAATTGATGTCTTGTCGAATAAACACATTTACATAATCAGAGTTAAGCTCCAAACATGAGCAGCGACAGTTTGTTGTTATTTGAGAAATGTAGCTTGATTCTGATGATGTTGTCCGCAGTAAATGATCCTGTTAATAAGTATCGTTAAATTTATCTTTTCTAACTGAAAACATCATACGCTTCTTGGGTTTTAGGTAAGCTTACATCCTATAAAACTAATCTCACTTTCCTCTGACCACTTCCACCCACATGTTCTTTGAAACAATTAAAAGTCGATTGGTATCCCTTTCATCTTACCACCAACTGTGTATACAAATTTACATGTATCTGCCAAAGTAGTTACATTGGTAGAACAGAAAGGAGAGCCTGCATCCAATTCAAAGGACATATTCCGAAAAGTTTAAGATCAAATGGATTGAAAGCATTCAGTAGTGCCGTTGCAAGACATCTTGACAGAGAACATGAAGTCGATACACTGAACTCCTTCAAGATGATTAACAAACAATCAAACTCGAACCTTTTGAAACTCGCCGATGCAATAGCAATCAAACGTCTAAAACCAGATCTATGTACCCAAAAAGAGGCAGTAATATATCTTTATTTGCCCTGTTAACATCACACCCCTTTTTAATTATTACGTCATTCATTACATCATTGAAGTTTAATTACATCATTGTCGTTTTTCTTCAATTTATATCTTTTTTTATTACCATTAATCTATTTTCAGTTGCTTAATTACACAATCATATAATGTTTGGTAACTCCATGAGTTCTAATCACTGTTTCAATGTTTTGGAACTTTCCTTCTCAAACTTTACTTATCCAAAACAAATTCTTTATGACCTTATTCACTCTTAAGATCTTCGCTACATCATGATATATATATGTATATTCATTTTTAATCGCTCTCTTATGTATAAGTATGTAAATATCTGTGATAACGTTGATTTTCAAATATTATAGGTTGCAAGTAGCCGATGAGAAACTAAAGAAATAAAATGAATTCATATTATTCTGCACCAATCTTCGTTGTTGATCTCTTTAAGATTATAAATTGTTTAATTTTCATAGCGAATCAAAGTAAGATTTGTTTTTGATTGCTAAGTTTCAAAAAGTTTAATTTGTAAAAAGTGAGTTTACTATGTAAAACTTTTGGAGTAGTCAAGTTGCTTGTCCCAAATTATATTAGAGTGATTCGAGTTTGTGGTATAGATATACACGTTTTTATGCTTCACTTTATTTATTTATGTGTACGAATGGTTGTACATCAGTTTCCCATTAGTCGACCTATTAAGTGGATATTGTGTTTTGTGGCTTGAGCTTTTTGTATATTATTAGAATGTCGCAAGTTATTTGTTATTTTCTCAGTTAATAATTTATTTTTAGTTAGGTATCCGCCAGAGCAGTTCAGTAACGTATCATGGGATAGCTCTAAACTGTACCACTGAACCACTTTCATGGCTAAGACAAATCGTTCCTTGTGGTTTAGCTGATCGAGATGTTACGTGTTTGAGTGAAGTTTGTGGTAAACAATGCACACCAAAGGAAGTGGCACCTACAATGTCAGATTGTCTGGTTTCAAGTCTGTTTAAATTACATATGAATGACCAGTTTTGTGTTAATTACCAATTTCGCAATGATATGGCGGGCGATTGGTGTAATTTAATACGAAATGTCAACGGTGGTTATGAAGGTTGTTCAGAATCGTTTTCAGTCAGTAAATCTTGGTCTTGTACAGTTAAGGATATCCTCTTCTCGTTACATTCTCATTTTAATAACTGTACTGCCAGCAATGCACTATTCAATAATAAATAATATTGTGTACGCTTTTCTTGATTTGTATTTTTTCCAATCTTCAAATGACGAAATAAACCCATTGGATAAATAAAGTCAATTCAAGAGAGGTTTTTACCTGTTACCTACCGAATCGATAATTCAAATAGGAATTATTTAATTGTAATCATCATAAGATATCTTTTTGCTCGCATTAGCCGTTGAATGTCATAGTATTACTTAAAATTTGAGTTTAGAGTTGAATTTTATAGATACCCGAATGATGGCTTCGAGTTCGTCTGAACGCTTGGAATTAAGGAATATAATTATGACTATCTTGAACAGTGTCATGTGCAACCGTTAATTGGTCATGAACAGTTCGATTCTAATTATAAGTCAACAGTTTGGCATAATTGGATGCAAGTTCATTTTATCGTAGCTTTGGATTGTTAAAAGTTTTTGGTTACGTACTCCATACAAAGTGGGACTGAATGCTCATTTAATGCCAAAATAATCTTATTCCGTCACTTATTATAAGCATACGGTTTCTATTTAAGAGTATACAAAAGTATACAAGATATGTTGAATTGCTGTGAATTGCTTTTGGAATGAAATCGACTTATCGAACATCATCATAGTTAAAAACATTTATAGAGTAATGTATTGGCTCGTTTTCAGTTCACATAGTATTGACTATCTATGATTAAATAAGAACTCATGTCTAATCAAGCAAATATTATCAATGTGGAGCATGGGATAAGTCTAGATCAAGTTAACCATATCAACACAGCAAAACCATTGGAAAAGTGGTAGTACGAATGATAGTAAGAAAGACTAAGCATAAAAAATATAATTCGAAATAAGGAATAATAGGACTAATGATTTAAGATGGGAGATAAAAGTTGGATCCAGTTGTTTCGCAATGACCCACAGTTGGGACTCAGTAAAGCATTTCCTCACATGAACAATGTACAATTTTGGCTATCATTTTTATATGAACGTTTAACGAAAACAAGTCTTATCACCAACTAACCACTCTGTAATGTTCATCTTTTAACAGTTCGAATTTTCTGTTGATTTTGATGTGTGCTGCAAATATCGTTTGATGTAGATCCAAGTTTTGAAACAATTGATATACAGATTTAAACCGCTATCATTCTATGTTTCTAGTATTTTATCAGTCGCAAAAAATAGATATGTGTAATTCTCCATCAAACATAGATTAATTCTGAGCTTTAACGAAACCGCAACTTTAACAATTTGATTAATTAATTGGTTTCTTATCAACAGACTGTCATAAGGCGTTAATTGAAGTCCCAAACATCAGTATTCATGATTACTGGGTTGCACACGGTGCAAGCTTTAGTTACGATTGTATCTAGCGTTATTTGGTTGTTTACTAGTTGGTATAGATTATTCAATGGTTGCACTCCTCAAAGTGTAGCAGATGGATTGTGGTTGTAGTTCTGTTGCCGAATAAGGCAGATCTGAACTTGTTATAGGATTATAGTCAATTGATAAAACGTGTTTTGCAACTCTCATAAGCTTGTTTGTTCATTTACTGGCAAGATTTAATTTTCTTACTTCATAAATAACTCATTATATGTATTTAGTCTTAATACTCATATCTAAGTACATTCGCTCTTATAATTTGTTCATATTAAAATATGAAATGTACTGTTCTCGAATACAATTGATGTGAAATTCCAGTCGGAATGAGTGGCGTTATCAAGCTGCAGCTAGAAAGTAGTGGATGCGCGCTGCTGAGGAGTCCCATACTAGGACGAAACGGCCGTCCAGTGCTTCCAGGTTTTCCATGGTGGTCTAGCTTCAATTGGCTCATGATTTCAGCTTGTGAAACTTATAAAAATCTCCACAAAACCCATTCTGATAATTATAATTGTTTGCTCTATGGAAGCATATCAAATCTTATGTCTGTAAATTGTTGTATGGCGAACTAATGTCTTGTTCACGCAGTAGTTCATTCCTTTTGTCTATCCGGATATGTCCATTATACTCATTTTATGATAAAAAGTCATGGTTAGTTGGGATTTGACAGCTATCGAGCTGCAATAACAAGGTCAGGTGTTATCAGCGAATAATTTACTGGTTATTTGCATGTAGTTTTTTATGGAACAAAACAGATTTCTCCCAAAGGCATCAAAAGAAATATGACAGAGACTAGAGTGAAAATTATGTGAATAAGTACAAAAAGGGGAAAAATACTAGAATTAAAGGAATAGGACTAGTATGTAACAAAGATCGATGTTCAGGTAAGGAAATAACATGGGTGTATTTCATTCATTTGGACAAGAATTATTACTGGATATGAATATTAAAAGAAGAATACTCGGGGGACCACCGTTCATTCGTATTTTGGACATCAGCTTGTATTGATCAGATTTGAAACTAGTTTAACAAAACTTACTGAGTTGTACAGCCAACTATTTTGCCATAAGAAATATTACACCGAACATGGGCCAGATTAGTGTAAGGTTTTATGACTTTTAACATAGGTAAGCTGATTTTACCTATCAAATTATTACCACCAGCACTTATTCAACTACTTAGATACACAGACTTATCGGTTACTTCCGAGTACAAATGTGGGCTCTTGCCGTTCCCGTGGTCGTTTTGATCATGGTGTAAAGATCACTGCAGACTGTGAAGTTATGGGTTTGTTATCCCTCAAACTGCAATAATATAAAACATTTTGGATTTTTCTTCGTTTAGAGTGACTTCGTCAATTATTATTGACTTATGAATTTAATCACCTTGTCCATGTAACGCGAAATATTTGGCACATTAATGTTAGCGTAGCGGTTTTGGAATCTGTCCAAAAAAATAAACTCATGAATAGCACTCACAAATGCTATTCTATATGTAAATAAAGTATTTCAAGATATGCATACAGTAATTTGTACACACTGTTTCGTCCAGTATAACATATATTTGGTAATTATTGGTTTACTTCTGTCTAATAATCTAATTGATTGACACGAAAATCTGGACTTACTACGCTTAAGCTATAATTTGTTCTAAGCATTAAGTTATAACTGAATATTTTATTTTATTGATACTTTGCACAAGCTTTTGATTCCCTGCACACCAGACAAGAAAGATTTTAAGCGTAATGCAATTTTGGTAATAGCCATTTTGAGGATCACAATCAATGTGTTTCAAAAAACATTCGAAAATATGCATAAAATAGTTTTTTTATACTGTTTGGATAGATTAACTGCGTAGGTACGTGGTTAAACTTATTTATTGTTAAATTTTGAAATAGGATATGGTTTTCTCAGAATATCAAATGGTAGTGTTCCTGTTAAAAATGCAAATAAAATTTAATACATCCGTCTTATAAAATGCTTTTCCATGCATTACTTTGTTAAACTGTCAACTGGATAATGTTAGCCAGTAGGTTTGTTTCTTGTGCCTTGCTACAAGTCTGTTCACTGAATTTCATCAGTATTCTAGAATTATCTTTATAGTCAAATAGTAACCTAAATGAAGATGGTGTTCAGGTATCTCACATCAGAATGATTTTTGGGTTGCGTCGATTAAAAAAACCATTAATAATTTTCTCTTATATTATTATCTGAACCCTTAGTCTAATCTACTTAACTGAATGCTGATTGTTATTCCCTTGTGCCCTACGTTTGTCTAATTTACGCTTATTAGGTGATAAGTTAAATTTCGCTTTTCATTTATAATAAATTTTAATTCCATTGGATTCTTTACGACTCCATAATTATTGCATCTCTGATTCCAGAACTAGTTGTTAATCCCGTTTTCAAATAGTTTGTTAGTGAACTAATACTGAAATATGTGCTTGTGTGTTTTAATTATGAATAATACAAATATAACTCTAGTAAGTCATATTGTCAAAAAGAGCAAAATATTAACTTCCCTGAATGGCTTTTTTTTTCTATATAAAGAACGTTCTTGATAACTAATTATTTCGAATAAGCATCGTTAATGGATTTAACTTTATAGGAATCTAACTACTAACTGATGGTATTATGATTTGAGTTTTATTATAAAAACATTAGATTACAACGTGAAGATGTCAGTTTAATGTATTTAACTTGTTGAAATATTGAATTATCGCCTATTTCAACATACTACATGAATTTCCAACATTACATTCTATTTACAAAAATATACATTAATAAATAGCTCTAATATAAAGAGTGAAATAACTATATAATGTATATTATTTTGAATTTTATTTGTTGAAACTCTCATTTATTTATTATGACAACTATTTTCAAACTGCTACTATTATTCATTTAGTAGTAGTAACTATAGTATTAAGATGATTAATAATAATGATGATTGATTTTATTTGTCAGTCATTTATTACAAAATAAAATTGATAATCGGACATAAAACTATATGTATACAAATGTGTATTAATAAGAATGTTTTAATGATAAGATAACACAATGAGCCCTTAATGATATATAGTGTACAAAAACCTATATATGTGTATACATATACTTTTTATACAAACACAACTGATATTTAGTACAAACACTAATTATTGTATTATAAAGCTGTTTATATAGTTGAAATAGACATGATGAAATTCTGTGTAAGTGATTGATTTTAAATATTTCAGTCTATTATCAAATGTTTTAATACAATACATTATGTAGGAATTATAACGATTGAAAATAACAGTTGTTCTTTTTTGTTTGTTTGTTATCATTATCATATTTAGCTTGTTTTACCATTTTCTGTAAGTTAATTTATCTGTTAGTTTATGAAAACTGAAATTTATTTTCAGAAAAGGAGTTTTGTGGAGATTGTAGTCATTTAATGGTTGAATTCATGAGTCGATTAAAGCTAGACCACCATGGAAAACCTGAAAGCCAGACCAATTTCATGAATTGGTCAATGTTAGACATTAACACCGTTGGATGTTGGCCCAGTGGTCTAGAGGTTGGACGTTCAGGTTTGAATTTCTTGGGTGGGATCGTGGATGCGCACTTCTGAAGAGTCCCATACTAGGGTGAAACAGTCATCCAGTGCTTCCAGGTTTTCTATGATGGTCTCGCTTTATTCGACTCATGAATTCAACTATAAAATTTATCTGTTTCACTTTTACGGTATCA